AGCCAAAATTTAAAATATTAAAATAAATAGCCTATTGAAAATATCACTGATAAAAAAAATAGAGCCATCAGCTGTAATACTTCATTTCCACCCGTAGTTGTTCTCAATCTAACATCTAGCAGCATTCAACTCACTTACTCTCCCAGGTTGTCAAAGACCAACCACCCAAGGTTAATTCCAAGGCAAACATTTTTACAATACTTATAATTAAAAAATACTTGTGATGACTACAGGGCTACATAATTTGTGCCTACAGTTCAGCTTTACATATAGTTGCACTTTAGCTGATGACTAAAAAGTGCTCATCATATGCAAATCACAAATGAAGAGACAACATAAGGTTCTATAACAGGAAAGGGAAAACAGGCAATGAGAGAAATTTAGGGGCTGCCAATACTGAACTTTAAAAATTGCTTGCTGCCATCAGAGATGGATTAATGCCCATATCACACTTGTGACAGGATCGCTTTAAAGGACAGAAAAATACCTGACGCTTCTAAACTGTCCAGAAGAGCGAGACCTTCTATATGCTCCAGCTCTTACAATTAAGTACATCGTCTTTTTCACAGATGACACCAAACAAGTGACCCAACTAAAATTATTATTATTATACAGGATTTATATAGCACCAACAGTTTGCTCAGCGCTTTACAATATAACGGGAGACAATACAGCAATGATACAGTTCAGTACAAGAGGGATAGGAGGATCCTGCTTAGCTTACAATCTAGGAGATATATGATCCTTTTCAGGATTTGGTGACAACTTAAAATTTTGGATTTTCCCCCAATGACAAGGTTACTCAGGACAAAGAGTGAATCTCCTCAAAGGGGAGACAGATCGCAATACAATCCTCACAGGGCTCTAACCTCTTCTCACACTTCCAGAAAACTCTTCTTGATCAAATTATAGTTTTGCAGCTCTTTTTTTTTTTTTTTTTTTTTTAACTAAAATTGTCATAAATAAATACTACTTCCTCAGTTAGGCTTGAATGAAGAAGTTTGGTCTTTGGAGAATAACTGCTCTAAATATAATGGACAACGTGTATGTTTTATTATGTAGTGACACTTTTGTGTCTATGTTCTGGTGCTCTCATATGGTATTGGAGTTAAAATCAGAAGATAGTCGCTAGAGACCTGGAAATTATTCGGAATAGAATGGAGCCTGATTCTGCTTATAAGAGTGGAGAGCTCCCTGACATCTCCATTAAAAGTATATTAATTGCTTGAGTTAATGCGTTCTCATAGATTTAACAGACTCAAGTATGTTCCATCAACAAAGCTCTTTACTGAAATAAAATACTGCTGGTCAGGCACCCTGCTCAGATTACTTCCCAGAGAAGGGTTTTGTATTAGCTGACTGATATCTGGCTGCCATACTGGCTGCTCATAGATCAGATCTCCCTGATAAATGAAGCCAGTGAGAGTTCCTGGGAGCCATTCCCTAATCACACTGCTGGGGCCCTTGGTGGGCTTGTTTGTAGATGGATATGACCCATAGACTACCTTACAGGAAATCTTTAGCTAACAAAGTATGCAGCCAGTCACAGACTTCCTTCTTAATGCTAAATTCCTGGATGTCCTGCTCATTCCTTGGGTTTAAGTCATTTCCAAGTCATTGAGTCACTAACGTAAAACAAAGAGTGTGAAGACATTACTCCATATTCCTATACTTGACCAAATTACAGAGAATCACATCCTAGGCAAGCCTGTGGCAAGCAGAGTTGGATCACAATCCCAAGGTCAGATGTTCAGCCTGGAGCCCTTTGTAACCTGGGGTATTGCACTCTCCAGTTTTAGTAAATCCCCTACCCCCCCCCCCCCCCCCCCCGCGTCTGATGAAGTGGGCCATACCAAAACAGACAATGCAAACAGTGTGGCTTCTCTTTGCCTAATAAACTCCAATTAAAGGTAATTTTCTTTAAATTAAAATAAATGTGCAATATTTTTGCATAGATTTGCCCCAAACCTTCTCTTCTCGGGTTCTCCGCTGGCAAACTTGGCTCCACCTCTTCTGTGTGTGTCCAAGCAGTTTGCTTTGGGGGGCACAGTGCGTGCTTGCTCCTGAGCTGTGTGTCTATAGAGTCAAGCTCCTTGGACAAACACAATGGGGCTTAGCTCCACCCACCCTTCCTCTTTACTGCATCTGATTGACAGCAGCAGGAGCCAATGGCTCCTGCTGATGTTTGAGTCCAGTGTGAAGAGAAAGAGTATAGAAGAGATGCAGCCATGCACAGCACTGGATCTCTTCTCCCCTCTCACAGGGAAGGAGGGGAATAAAACAAAATAAAATTTTGTACCTTAATGCAGAGAATGCATTAAGGTAAAAAACATTTTGGCTTTAGAAACACTTTACCTGTCAGAGAAAGGACTGTTATGTTTCTTAGGCTTTACAAGCCAAACAGATGTAGGACCACAGTGTGAACATCTCTAACTCTTTATCTACACTATACAAAAACAAGAGACTTTCAAAAAGTGTTTTTTGAGGGGCTTTTTTTGTTTTACGGGTAAAATATCCTGTATTCCTCTGAAAGGTGCAGCCATGCTGACTGAAACTGGAAATTCACCTCCAAATTGCTGCTATATTTGTAAAAGATACATGCTGAGAGCACAAAGGAATTTATGGGTCTAAACACTTTAATAAACTTAAATTAGCCCTGATTGTGACTGGTAATGGAAAGTGGGAGTGCAGATGAGAGTAGTGACATCAAATGGAGACAGGTAATGAACCTCTGCCACAGCAAGTACATCCCAACTTTCACATTTCATGGAAATTGTTTTTATACATAATGGGCATGATAAGTTAGAAAAAATAAACACATTGGTAACGGACTCTATATCTTCACAACCCTTCTGATGGGAGATAACAAACTAGATCAATCATATTTTAAAAAGAAAGGGTAATCGTACTACAAAAGGGGAAACACAACAACTAACTATAAAAACTGTGATCCAATAGTGTCCCTTTTTTTGTTGGCTCTATCTAGTCCTCCTTTTACATGCCAGAAGCCAATCAGAATGATATCACTGACGTTTTCAGTTATGACACAAACTGCTTTGCTGAAATCTATCTAAAACTGGGGAAAAAAAAAATACAATAAAAAAAAACAAACATGACAATGGAGAAAAGATTAACAGCATGGTCCCAATTATAAAGCCAGCCATTGATGGATCAAATCACCAGCCAAGTTTCAATCTATCTACTGCCTAGCATCTATGGAATGGGTGCGGTGAGATTGTTTATTTGATTTTGTATACCTATTTTTCTCTGTTGTGTGGAATCAGGATGGTTGTACTGAAGTTGATCCATCGATAAATTTCAGTACAACCAGCCTATTTTTTTTTTGTTTCGATCACTTCTGGACACTATTGCCACCATCATTGTGTTCCGCCATCAGGAAAGACTTTATCCCTCCAGCAGAACACAATATTTGCCGTAGAGCTGCAGGAGGGATTCCCCCCATCCAAACGGACTGTGTTCATGCCAGAATCCAGCAGTTTTCCTTCTTGCAACCAGTAGTTGCAGGAAAATAAAATTGTATAAGGTATGGCCTGCTTAACACTCTTAAGCTTTTCATGATGCCCCCCCTGAATATAACCTCAAACAAAAACCAATGACCTCAAGTTAATGTCAATATTACATATTCAAAATGTTATTTCTAATGAGGTGTTGGAGCTGTATACCAGGATAAGGAAAATAAAAACATTCCCATAAACAAGGCCATCAATGTATTCATTACCCCAATTACCTTCATTATCAAGTATATATGGATCAAATCACCAGCCAAGTTTCAATCCATCTATGGGCAGGATGGTTGCCAACACTCATTGTTAGCAATTATTTCTGCAACCTTTTGAATGGCTTATCTTCCTTGTGCAATGCAGAATAAACGCGTGCCCTCTGGTTAAGCGTGTCTTTTATTACCAGCAATCTAGGAGAGGTGCAGAGTGTAAAAATTTTATTGTGGTGTGCTTTAGGTTCATTTGCTTTACAACTCTTCATCGCTGATCAGGCGCTCTAGCACTAATTAGCACTTTGAGAATTGTGTAAATATTTCAAAAACATGTTTGCAATTAAGGAAAAGAAATATGCCACATTAAAAAGAATGGATGAAATTAAGTTATTAAGGTGGAAGGAAATGTAGCAAATTAACAGTCATGACACAGTTGGTGAAAAAAAAAAAAAAAAAAAAAAGGAAATGTTTTGCCTGGGAAGTTACAGGTGATTAAGTATCCTCTAAGGCAGACATGTGAAATGGGTTTTCTGGAATGATTTCTGTGCTCTGGATTCTCTCTTACTCTTTCAGTCCACCCAAAATATTTTTTTTTTTTGGCTGATGTTGCAGAGCTATCTTAAAGTGGTTGTAAAACCTATACATTAAGGTAAAACAAAAAACTTGTGCTTGGGGTCCCCTAGGTCGAAGGCTCACACTGCTGTCAATGAAACTTTGTGAAGAGGGAGCAGGGGGTGTCTATGGACACAGGCAGCGGGGCTCGGGAATGAGCCCACACGAGCGCCCCCATAAAGAGGAGGAGTCAGGAGCAGGGCTCCTGAGAAGAGGGAGGGGATGCTTTGTGCAAAACCATTACACAGAGCAGGCAAGTAGGCTGTTTATTGAGATTTAATATTTTAATTTAAAAAAAAACAAAAAACCTTTTACAACCATTTAAAGTCTAACTAAAATTTTAGGGTTTTAGCTTAAATGCACTAAATACATTTCAGGTACATTAAACCAACTTGCTCTCACTTTAACCGTCTCCCGCCCGTCATATAAGGAAATGACGGGCACAAGGCAGTTCTCTAGTTCTGGGAGGACGTCATATGATGTCCTCCCACGCTAACCACGCGTGTGCGGCTACGGGAGTGCGCAGCACAGCGATCTGTAGTGACCTGTGTCCCTTGGCCGAAGATGTTGGCTCGGTCACATGATCAGTTGTGTCCAATTACAGCTGATCGCATGTAAATAGGAAAATGCTGGTTATCGGCATTTTTCTCCCCACGAGCTGTCACACTGACAGCTCGTGAGGAGAGGAGAGCCGGTAATCGGCATTCCGCAGAGGGGACATGTACACTGACCATCAGGGCACTGATGATCAGTGTGCCCTGATGATCAGTGTAGTCCTAGCAGTGCCACCTGTCAGTGTCCATCAATGCCACCTGCCAGTGCCCTTCAGTGCCACATATCATTGCCTACCAGTAGCACATCAATGCCACATATCAGTGCCCATCTGAGCTGCCTTTCAGTGTCACCTATCAGTGCCAGTCAGTGCCACCTATCAATGCCAGTCAGTGCCACCAGTCAGTGCCGCCTATCAATACCAGTCAGTGCCGCCTATCAGTGCCAGTCAGTGCCGCCTATCAGTGCCATATGAGTGCTGCCTTTCAGTGCCCATCAGTGATGCCTGTCAATGCCACCTACCAGTGCCCATCAGTGCAGACTATCAGTGCTCATCACTGCAGCCTCATTAACGCACAACAGTAAAGGAGAAAAACCACTTATTTACAAACTTTTATAACGAACACTAAAAAAAAAAACCTTTTTTTTTTTTTTCAAAATTTTCAGTGGTTTTTGGTTTGTTTAGCAAAAAAATAAAAAACCCAGAGGCGATTAAATACCACCAAAAGAAACTATATCTGTCTCAAAAAAATGATGAAAATTTCATATGGGCACAGTGTTGCATGACCGCGCAATTGTCAAAGTGCAACGGCGCTGAAAGCTGAAAATTGGCCTGGGCAGGAAGGGGGTATAAGTGCCCTGTGGGCAAGTGGTTAAAGCACTGGTCTCTCTCTGCAGAGAGGTCCAAACATACCTGAGTCAGAGCTAGAAATCTCCAATTAGCACAGAACATGAGCTTTGCAGTTTTGAGAACTCTAACTCTGACCTACCAAGGGGCATGTCAGACCTCTGCAGAGAGACACTGCTTCCATACAGGGAAAGTCTTTCTCTGCAGTAGGCTGACAAGGGACAGGCTTTTCTACTGGCTGTTTGCTAAAGAAGGTGAAGTTCTAAACAAGCCTAGCAATTAGACGCATTTAGGCGCATTTAGCCGCATCAAGCATGTTTTCTGCCAAAACGCTGCTGCTCCTGGATGCACTAGCCCTGGGTTATTTTTCCTGCTGGTAAACGTTCCTGCTACTAAAAGCTTCTAAAAGTCTACATGTGCATGGACACATAGGATAACATAAAGGGCCGTTTGGAAGCCGTAAAAAAAAAAAAATACCTAACACCCCTAAAAGTAGCTACAAAAACGCCCTGTGTGCATGAAGCCTACTAGTGTGTAAATCAGCAGTGGTGGTATGATTGGCTATACATTGCTGACCCTGAGCAGGAGCAACCAAGAAGGTCTATATAAGCATATAAACATTAGTAAAGTGTAAAGACTACTTTTATTTGTAGGCTCTTGCTGCCAGTAAAATCCAGCATAGAAACAATACACCTGTGCACAATAAAGTTCACAACCCAGGCATTGAAGTTTAAGCTTTTCCTCAGGAGTACATCTTGGCAGGCTACCATCTTTCGAAGGTAAAAAAAAAGCAGCAGGTGTTTCTAAGCTCTTCAAAATGATTGAAATCCAACTCTTGAGAATATGCTTTGATCTTTGAGAAGAAATAATTTCAGGAAAATATGCAAGAAAAATTAATATATTTCAACATGCCTAGTCTGCACCATTGTAGTGCATTCACATGCATTAAAAAAGCTCAAGTCTGCTGAATTTTTTTTTTTAGTGGATAGCATGTGAACTGACTGCAAATGCATTTAAAATAACAAAAGCACCACAAAGCCGCAGCAAAAGCATTATGAACGCACGTAAATGTCCATGAGGAACAGCACAGCGAATGTGGGGAATTGTGGTGTAAGTGAACCCTTAAAGAAGCTAGAGAGGTCAAAGGAAGGCTTGTTTTCAAAGATTTTTTCTTTTACTTTTTTAATGCTGGTTAACAAGAAAAAATAGTTTAGTGTTATGTTTTTCTTCATTTTGCATTCTAAACATTCTTGCACTTACAGCTCTCAGGCTCTGCATATACAATCACCAGCCACTTTATTAGGAACACCTCTTCAATTGCTTGGTAACACAAATTGCTAATCAGCCAATCACATGGCAGCAACTCAAGCTATTTACGCATGTAGACATGGTGAAGACAACTTACTTAAGTTCAAACCGAGCATCAGAATGGGGAAGAAAGGGGATTTAAGTGACTTTGAACATGGCATGGCTGTTGGTGGCAGAAGGTCTGCTCTGAGTATTTCAAAAACTGCTGATCTACTAGGATTTTCATGCACAGCCATCTCTCGGGTTTACAGAGAATGGTCCAAAAAAGAAAAAATATCCAGTGAGAGGCAGTTGTGTGGACGCAAATTAAATTGTTTATGTCAGAGTTCAGAGGAGAATGGGCATTCGATTTCAGCTACAACGTTCAGATGAAAGGGGAAGAATTTGGCGTAAACAATATGAAAGCATGGATCCATCCTGCCTTGCATCAACGGTTCAGGCTGGTGGTAGTGTAATGGTGTAGGCCCTAGCAAGGTATACCTAAAAAAGTGGCCGTTGAGTGTAAATTAGCCTATGCTTCTAGGCACTTCCTACACACAAAAACACATGTCATTGGCCTACTGATACAATTCTGAAATTTCTCTCATACATGTAAAAATCGTCATTTTTTGTGCTAGAAAATTACTTAGAATATATATATATATATATATATTGTTTTAGGCAGAGGTCCTGGCAAATAAAATAGTGGGATTGCAGTTTATGTCACGCAGTATTTGCGCAGCGCTTTTTCAAACACAATTGCTTTGGAAAAAATACTTTAATGAATCTCAGTGCCCACAAACAATATAACGCCCATTTTTTTTGGTACAACACAAAGGATGATGTTATGCCAAGTAAGCAGTAAATGTATTTTTATGTAAATGTATTTTTTAAAATACTGCACCTTTATTTTTTATCAACCTTATTGCTATCACAAGCAATGGCCATCCCTTATGATAGTATGGGCCATGAAAGGTCCTCTTTTTGGAGAGATCTGGTGTCTTTTAGACCCCAAATCTCTCCTCTGGCCTCCAAAGAATCTGAGCAAACAGAGATGGAAGTCACTGCAGAGTAGCGAGAGTGCCTTAGACTGCATTTGCATGCAAACCATCTTATGCAAGGCCCACGTGTGATGTTGAGCCTACAAGACTTTAAACTGAAATCCAATGAATGAAAGGGGTGGATCAAAGTCTGTCGAGCTGCAGAAGAAAGGGCTAGATCAGGGGTAGGCAACCTGCGGCTCTCTAGCTGTTGTGGAACTACATTTCCCATGAGGCATTGCAACATTACAAAACTGACAGTTACAGCTATGACTTGCAGAGGCATAATGGAACTTGTAGTCCTGCAACATCTGGAGAGCCTCAGGTTGCCTACCCCTGGGCAAGATGATACTGGACATTCTCCAACCAGAAAATGAAGCAGAAGCTCACAGTGTCAAGTGAAATCACAGTAAACAATTTCCATACAGCTGTGCAAGACTGATGGTAAAACTGGAGTTCAGCTTAAAAATGGTGTGGTCGTTAGAACCCAACTTAATTTGCCTTCATCCACATTTTTAACATTAGGATTTTTAGATTGGATGCTATCAGTCTGCTTAAAATAACTTGGGATTTCCATAAAGCAAGGTTTGATTGCTGCCTGGCTCAATGAGCTCGTCTTCTTAACAATGCCATCATTACAATAAACCACTGGCAAATGGTGAAAGATTAAGAGAATACAAAGAATGTAATCTGAAAATTAAAATGTAAATAGTGTTTCTACATAAAATCCTTAATCTATGCAGAAACTAAATATGCATGACTGCAACGGATTTCTTCTCATCTCGTTGACTATATAAAGATAATGAGATTAAGTATTTAGTATGCATTATATGGGACACTTTATTAAATTCATTTAATAAATGTTAATAACAATAAGAAGATCGGAAAAGCGTTCTGTGATGGAAATAATAAAACATGTGAGACACACACTCCAAACATTTATGAAGCTGGTTGCCATTCTTGTAAATAGTGGTTTAATTAAAGCTATTCTTTAAACATATGCAGTAAAGTCACATACTGGGGAAAAAATGCTTACTTTACCAGTGTTGCTCCCAATGGTTTCTCTTTCCCTCTTTTCTCTTCACAAGTCTCTCTTTCAGTTTTGAAACACAGACTTGCAAACTAATATTTGCTACATCTAAAGTCAAAATTGCTTTACGTTTGGATAGAGTAGGGAGCAGTCCAATCCCTTGGTAGGTTTGTATAATTGTCTGCATCCCTGCTGGGAACATTCATCATCTCTGATTGTCTTGATGGCCATTGAAACAAGACAGTAATGGGAAATATAAAATGCTATAGTTGTCAACAAAAAAGACAGGGACAAGAGGAAATCTATCAATGGAACACCCTGCCTGCTCTGGTGATAACTTTCTAAAAAGAGGCCTACCATCATTTTAGAGAACATTCAACATCACTTCCTGTTTTGCCTCCTAGGCTGTCATATGGGTGATTCTGCCACTACTGCAAAATTGTAAGCGGCAGAAACACCAACAGGATGCCTGTCCCTATGGAATCTAGATGTTGCTCCCATTGTTAGCGCTTGAAATTCAGCAGCTTTTCTCTGTGCATCAGCTAGAGTGAGCAATTTCGCAGGGATAGCCAGACAGCCGCTTAAGCCATCCTGCCAGTGGAGATTTCTCGCTAGTGGCAGTATCGTCAATCTGATATCAACCTAAATCAGGGAGGGGAAAAGCTGCACAACAGGACAGAGCAAAAAAGGAAGGGTTTCTAATAGGCCCCCATTTTATTTTAAAAAAAAAAAAAAAAAAAAAAAAAAAAAAAAAAAACACATTGTTCATCCAACCTTCAAATTTGCCATTTACTTTCAACCACAAGTATAAAGGAAACTGGGAGCTAAAATATCAGTGAATCCATTTTGCGCATAAATTCACCATTTTACGCATGAGCAGCTTTCTATCCTTTGCCAAGATTGTTAGCTGTAAAAACGTTCTCCCTTTCCTAATTCAGAAAGTCAAAAGCTAAGCAGGTACTTGTATGCATTCTACATTCAGCCACATACAATTGAAGGGAACCACCAAATGCAACATGGTGCTATAAATAAATAAAACTTCATGCAAACCATGGCTGCATTTAAAAATAAAAATTGTCCAGTTCTTTTCTCTGTTTTTTTTTTTGGCCGTGTCAGTGGTATGGTCTTATGTTCATATCATTAACACAATATTTCTACTTAGTTTGCAACATCACTACAGTTTGCTTTTTTTTTTTTTTCCCCCA